TTCTATCAGCATGGGATTTTGCCTGACTCCGCACAGGCAACGAATTCAATTATGTCTTACGATCATCCGGGCCTGCTTCTGTGGACATGTCAGCTGCCGCCTTCCTTCGCGTCTGGAAAGAAAGGAGTTAAGGTTGGACCCGCACCTGCTTCTTCAGGAACATTTTAACGTTGAATGTTCGTAGGGATTAAACTAGCAATAAAACGCGAAATAGCGATTGGAGTTCCACTGTTCAGCCGCAAAACTTGATATTGTAATTAAAGCGGGGCCCTTGACAAAGAAAATGACAAAAACGCTGAAATACGCGCATCGCAATGATTCAATTGAAGAAGATCTGAATTTCTACAGTAAAAACATCAAAAAAGTCTTATATACATTCTCTTAGGCTGCAGCATTGTGCTATATGAAGCACTAAATGATGACTATATTACTGTATTGTAAGAGACGCAATGAGAATCAATCGGTTGAATGGTCGCTTGAGCAGGGCGGTGACATGCCTGCTAAGTCACATCCGCTCAACAACACTCACATCCTAGTTGTCTCCTTTTCAGTATCATCATATTATACTCTTATCGTAACACCTTCTGTGCTATTAACCCAAATGTCTCGGTTTTTTAATGAATATATGTCATCATTTCATGATGCGAATGTTGAGAATAGTGACCCTTTCCTCCGTTCGGAGAGATATATGGAGAGTACGTACCTTATATTTAATACTTCCACCACAACAACAACATCAATCAGATAACAACCAGCAAACTATGCTTAACCATGCATTTTCTGCTCTTCAATGCATTCTTGTACCTACTTTTTCAATAGTCGGATAACTTTTTGCTACGAATATAGTTAAGCGCTCGGCATTGGAATAAGTGATATTCCACTAGTGAGGGGCTATATGAGTTGTACACGTGTATCTATATCTTTCTGTTATCTAACTAAGTCCACGAGCTCGCTCACTCAGTCAATGTTCATTTAGTTCTCTCTATTCTGTACCAGCTTCCTCTGACCAACCGTAGGTTTCGCTACACTTTTCAGCTTCACTTATATCGCCCCTTATTTCGATAAGTTGACGCCAAGTTGGTTGTGCTGTAATGAGTATCTGATCGCAACCGCCCATTTCACTCTTGATCTGTCTCTAGAAGCGTCTCGTATAGACTCCCCGCATCCAAGTATCTTTTATCACGGGCCAGGCAGTCCACATTATTCTGAGTAAATTAGTAGTGAGGTTCGTCTGGTTCAACAGAGCTATCCGCAGTACAAGCGCTTGGGCATAGAGAAGATTTTGCCGCCAAAATTCTTGATTAGTATAGCGATTAAGGGGAACATATTCAGCTATCATCTGGAACCAACTTCCCAGACATCCATTATTTCAACCAATTCCGCGTCGCAAGGTGCACAAGTCTGTGCATACTTATATTTGTGCCTTGGCTGTTGGTAAATAAATACGCATCAACATGATTGACCATCAAACCAAATCTAATCCACAAATGTCCTACTCGAGGTCAGACTTTGTACTATATTGTGCAATTTAAAGCTCTATACCTGTCTTCTTTCTGCAAATCTCCAATAAAAACTTAGCCAGAGCTCTCGAGAACGACAGTCAAGAGCGCCAGTCTTCTGGTTTGTATCGCAAGTAGGTTGCTCCTCTTGCATCACTCTAGCAGGAGACTTGCGCCAAGGCTGCATCCTGATTAGTAAGATAACCCCGAAATAGTTACTCACAAGAATAAATACCTTAAGAACTGGCCAGTCCGAGAAGTGAAGATATTTTGCCTCTTGTACCACTAGATCAGGATCCCAACTAGCTTTGGGACTTCCGAGATAATTGGTATGATTCTGTGATCTAAATTCTCCTGTCAGGAGAATGTATGGACGATGTGGAATGACAACAGCACTATCTCTGTAGAGCTTATTCAAAATTTCCATATCATATTCAGCAGGCCCCGCATCTTGAATCTGCTCCCAGATACGGTCAAACTCGAATGACGACGGCTGAAGCAGTATAAAGGCGGATGTTAGCTGGTGAGCTTTGGTATCTAGCCAGTATGCTCGTGGCATAGCCACTGGTAATGGAGGCCATAGAAACAGTTCATCCAGCTTCTAGGAAATCATCAGTATGTGTATCTATACCTTTGATCATGAAATTATGAAAGGGGGTTGTTGATACTTGCAAAAGAATCGCATCAGAGTCCAAGCTCAATACCCGCTTATACTCAGTTTGATTAAATGCCAGTAGCTTGGTATAGCTGTCCATCCATGTCGCTATATGGGTTGTTAGCAGGCGTGAACGACCTCACCAAGTCGGCGGAAGCACAATTCTGAGTAAGCATTCATAGATACGTACTATCATCGTTGGGTCGACTTTGTACTTTAATAGGTATTAATCTTACGTGATAATCTGCACGTGCCTTGCGTAACAATTTTCCTTCGATAGATTCGCTGCTCAAATCAAAGTGCGAAGGGAAAAGTAGCACCCTCTCCGGGCGGCTATGGAGACGCTCAAGAGATTCAAAGAGCATAACAGCATTACAAAGATAAGCTGTATTAGTCGCATATTGCACATAGGCATACTGTGCCCAGTTGACATCACTTGAGGCATTATAGAAGGACGATCCACCATAAGAATGTAACAGACTTGCGTGCGCATGTAGTCGCCACAGTAGTAGTATAAGTGATAAAATAGGTAAAGCGTGAATAATTCGCGAGGATATAGGCATGATCTTAGGAAAGGGTTGTCTTTGGAGGATCCTCGAAGAACAAGATATATGAACAAGGAAAGAGAATCATTATGTACTGTACGCCCGCAGAATACCCAGAAACCACAAGATATAACATCATCATAGCGATTCAAATATCTTAATAGCCACTATGAGCGAGTAGCCACGCGCATTCAGAACGCATTCTTCCAGCCACTAAGCGTTGGATACGCGATATTTGTTTTACAGTGCTGAGCAAGAGGGTGGAGTCGTCTCCGCAATGTAGGCTTCATTAACATGGTCCAAGCAGCCCGCTTTCTTTCAGCTACTTGTTCCTTGCGGTGGTGAACGGTTTTTAGCGCAAATTGCAACTGAAGAATCTTTGTAGGTCTTATAACTATAATGACTATTATGACTGGAGCTCGAGAGCAAACTTTATTCAGTAGTATAATCTGTTAGTAACTCAAGCTTATGTGAAAATAGTGATCAATTGCTCTGCTTTTGTCCAAGGAAATCCATTCCACGACATATGAATTGACTTTGTCCAAGCATTGGCCTCTTGGCGCGAGTGAGGACATCCTAAAAGCTATGACAAGGGGTGGTTCTTCAGAAAAGAGCCCATATGAAATTAGCATTGCACTGTCCTTTCAGGCGTCAGGCACATTGAATTGATCGCTGTAGAATCCAGCAAGTATGTCGATCATGACCAGCGTGAGATAGGGAACTACAGCTGTGGAACGAAGTAGGCGATATGAATTTCGGAGTCACATGACAAACGCCTCGTCCAGCTGAGGCAAGCAAAACAAGCTTTTGACAGGCGGAAAAGAGAGCTCAAGAGTACGGCATCGCACCTATCTGGAGGTGATCATGGGAGTATTACACATTGCCACCAGGTATAGGCACATGTTTGGCTGGTTTGCATAGAATCGTCTAGAACTTAGGTGAATTCATGTAACAAGCATAATTAACCTTACAGCATTATCTTGTGTCATATGATGTTTCTATATCACAGCCTAATTCTATTTCGAACTAGTATATGAGTGTGGCGCTTAGGAAGAGCGAAAGATTGTAGGAATGTACTGTAAAATCTAAACTTGCAAGGCATTGTACATAAGAGTGCTAAATATCCCTAAAAATAGACAATAGTGTATGTCGATACATACTGGAGACTAAGTGAAAAAAAAGTTTGTCACGATACTAGGACTTAATCGCTCATAATGCGCAGAATGATAATATCTCCAGCTCTATTCTCAGGACGGTCTGGCTTGGTCTCTTCAAGTCGGGGTTGCTGAAACAATCTGTCGCCGCGGATATACACTAGAAATAACCCTTACTAGTAAGGGTTGACCCTTTTTAGTGTGGCGGTAATTTTTCTGCCACAGTTATGAGCCCGGCATCTCTGGAACCCACTGAGGCGCGGAACAGCACCTACGAGAACCTCTCAGTTGTAACCGGCCCCTGTAATTATTTTTTTTTCAAAAAACACGGACCCTCGCTTGCGATAGTATCTGGGAAACAGCCCTTCGAGTGATCCCTAGTTATCTATGGCTTTCTCTACTGCTTTGAGTTCTTTCACTACTTGTTTTGCTTGGTTTGTTTTCATTCCGTTCTAAGAGACCCACTAAAACCGCAGTCACAAGGGCTGCAGAATAGAAAACCAGGCAAGAAGGCCACCACAGGCTTCGGCGAGGCTCCAAGTTCGTCAGGAAAGAAATAGTTAGTTTACAGTGAACAGATGTATTAAGAGAGATAACTAGATCGTAGATACCTGCATATCGCTCCGGCGAGGGTTCAGCGTATGAATAATCATTATCATCACGAACTGTAATCAAATATCAAACAGTAGTACATGGTCAACTCCTTGTTTGCCTATTTCTCTTTGGGGCCCTTCACTCTACCCCCCCAGAAAAGGAAGAAAGTAAGAAAAAGTGTGGGGACCGGGAAAGGACAGGAGAAAAAAGGTGCTTAGTTTTTGATGCAAAGAATCGGGATTTAATAATCGTCAATGAAGTACACCCACTATATTCGTTGCACATGCTTATGAATGTTGGGCAATCAGTAATTCCACTTCAATCAGCAATTAAATATAGGATATTGGAGTGGAGCCTCTATAACTTAACAAGTTTGATTGATCTCATACTAGAAAGGACCATACGAAGATTGGTAAACCAAGTTCTCCATTTAAGAGCAATTGACATGGCACTGAGAACAGTCATACTACTCCTCGCAATCTAAAAAAAAAAAATCAATAAGCTGAACCAATCCGGTATTAAAGCGCCACCTCACCACACACCCGACAGGAAAATGGTTCACAGTGACATTGAGAGTATTGGCGAAGGAATCGACATCCAATTTACGGATGGGGAGTCTGAACCCGAAGGATCTGCCACAAAGTCCGATATAGACTTTATAGATACACGATATGATTTTAGCGAAACAGACTGTGAACAGAGTTATGTCCCTACCGACACTGATATGGAGTCTTCCATAACATGCTCGGAAGATAGCACAATCCAAGTAGTAAGTTTACATCTCTAAACTTTTCACTGTCGCTAACACCTCCGAGAATGCCACAGGAGATTATGGAGAGATCTCAGTGCTTGATGAAAGGGAAATCGATAAAGAAGATGGACCAGTGACACAACTGCTAATCAGTGGCTGGCTAGATGAAGATATTGCCAACCAGGTAATAGAAATTGTCCGCACGTCTGCTAGACATTATTGAACAATCTACAGTACTCAGAGAGCCCATCAATGGTTCAAGAAATCCGTGAGGAAGGCCGAGTACTGCTTTGAAGGATTTGCAAGGATGCCAGCTGACCATTTATTTCACGGTTAAAAGATTTTGAAAGCCACTTTGTTACATATTAGTCCAAGCTGAATTAGGCACGGATATGTACAAGCAAAGTCCAAATGTAAAGGTCGCGAGACACAATTGCTTTGAACTGTATCCAACCTGCATGAATGGCTCTGGTTGTCGGGGTCAACCGAATTGCAGGTGATCGCGTTTAAGAGCCGAAAACGATCAACTAGAAGGACATTCTGTGCGCAACTCACGTAGAAGACAACCATTTGTAGTTTGTTTCAACAGATCATTGCAGGCTTGCCGGGAAACGGCATCAACTACTGTATTGTTAGCGTGGTGCTTTTGGACGACCTTGACCTATCCCTAGTAAGCTATTCATCCATTTCATCCAACAATTTTGCTTTGCTAATAACAGGAAATTAGAGCATATTACATCCACTGGGATTTGCGATAACAGGTTCTGTCAAGTCTACGTTAGGGGGATATCCTGCACGCGGACGCGTTAGCCGAGACAGTCCGTTGTTAGCTGAAGAGTTTAGGGACTCGCGAGTTAGACGATTCTTTTTAGTGAATGTATTCCACACTGCTGAAGAATGATATAATACATCCAGTCGTTTCCGCCCGTTTCACCATTGAATGTAAAAATCACAATTGGCTAACGTGTGCAATGTTTCTAGGGACGATTCGCCAAGAGCGGAGTCGGGAAAGCTATGTCTGGGCGACCTAGAGATAAAGAAACACCAATACAATTAGGTGGTACGGTTTTCCGGGAAATGGCGCCACCATCTACTTTCTTTCCTCTTTTCCAAGCATTCGTGCCGAGGTACTGGTTTTTTTTTTTTTTTTTTTTTTTTTTTTTTTTTTTTTTGTTTCTTTGGTAATTATTCGCTGAATAAATCCTTTCTCTCGGGATACAAGGTGCTGGAAAGGGTTGTTCTTATTGCTGACTGCCTCTTTGCCAGGGTCTGTCATGCCGTTTCTGAGCTCATTACAGTGTCCTGGAATTTGCTAGAGGCGAATGAGAATACCTTTTGCTTGTATCCATCCTGCTCCTCGCTATATCGCCTGAATGGCCCCCTTATATCTGGAAACATTCTAGAATAAAATTGGTATAATCTTGTGTCAGTGGAGATGAGGCAATCTTACCGCTAGGATAACACCTTACCGCTTCCTGCCTAAATCAACTCTATGGCTTCAAAGACGTCGATTTCATTGAGGACACCTGGCCTCATTGAATCGTATATAAAGGGTTCAGGTAATCGTCAATTTCAATAGGGTAGTCCTTCGCTACAGTTAGATTCTCCATATAAATTCACTAGGCAATACGAATTTTTGATAATCCAATATCTTGCTATGTCATATATTAAAGCACTGGCAAGCTCTGCACTACACGAAACCAAGAACTACTACAATAACCCCAACTCTGCACGGACCACAGGGACAAGTTGCTAGCTCAATTGATGAGAAAGAGGCTCTGGTTCGGGAGATAGCCTTCCCCCGGGCACCAGGGGTCAGCGAAGTCCCTGAGGTTTCCCAAGGGTCCTGGCATAACCAAGTGGATGAGAAGATGGTTAGACATGCTCTATTTCACCAATCTGTCCAGAAGGCACCAGGAATTGATAGGCTTAACTTTCGGGCTCTCCGGCTCCTATGGGACTGGGATAGTTCTAGAATAGTTACTCTCGCTCAACAATGTTTCCGACTGGGACTACACCCGCCGACATGGAAGATAGCGAAAGGCATCTTGCTCAGAAAACCCAATAAGCCAGATTATTCAGCGGTAAAGGCTTATCGGGTAATCAGCCTACTCAATTGTCTGGGAAAGGTCATTGATAAGATAGCAGCAGATGCAATTGCTAGTCATTGTGAGACAACAGGAGCCCTACATCCAGGACAGATGGGCAGCCGCAAACAACGAAATGCTATAGATGCAGTAGCATGTCTGATACAGACCACCCATGAAGCCTGGAAACTAAAGCAGCTTGTAGGAGCGCTATTCCTTGATGTAAAAGGAGCATTTGATCATGTCAATCCAGACAAGCTGATAAAACGATTGGCTGAATTAGGCTTAGATGGGGACCTGATCCTATGGGTACAGTCGTTCTTAACTTACCGGTGGGTTCAGCTACAGATTGACAATATACAGTGTCTACCACAGCCTATTGAGTCAGGGGTGCCACAAGGCTCACCGGTATCCCCTATTCTCTTTATCATATACCTCAGCGGCATTTTTGAGGTAATAGAAAAAAGAGTACCAGGGATTCAGTGTATTTCATTTGCAGATGATCTAGGTCTGACAGCCTCGGGACACTCTGTTAGAGGAATCTGCGACAAACTGCAAGAGACAGCCCGGGTGGCTATCGAGTGGGGACATGAGAATATGGTCAAATTTGACACAGGAAAGACAGAGGCAGTCCTGCTTACCCGCAAGCGTGGCCGTACACTCAAGGATCAGATTCAGCGAGCCCGCATAGAATTAGGAGGGCAGTTAGTTCCCTTTAACTCGGAAGCTACCAGATGGCTTGGGGTATGGCTCGACTCCGGCCTAAATCTTAAGGCGCATTATCAAACCTGCATGCGCAAGGCCCGGGCTGCGGAGGCCCGAGTGCTACGATTATGCCAGAGTCATGGACTTGCCCCAGGACTGGCACGCCAGGTGCAGGTTGCGGCAGTACAGTCAACAGCTCTTTACGGGGCTGAGCTCTGGTGGCAGGGTCAGAGGGATCGACAGGAAGGTATACAACTGATGATCAATCGGCAAGCTCGAGCTATTACTGGCATGCTAAAAACTACTCCAGTTGGTCCCTTGGTCCGGGAAGCGGGACTGATACCAGCTGAGGTCTTACTAGAAGCCCGGCAATTGGGATATACAAACCGACTGCTTGGGTTACCAGAAGATCATCCTGCTAAGAAAATCCTTCCAGTGAGCTTTCGAGAGGGAGACCAACACGCCCAGCCCGGCGAACAGACCCCGGGGAATCGACAGTGGGCAGAGGGCAGTAGTCGGGGACCATGGTCACTAGGACAACACCTAGCCCGACAACTAGCCAACATCCTGCCAGCAGATCCATCCAGTGGCTTTGAAAGCATGTTACAACCAACCAGTAACTGTTTCCCGGGTGTTATAAAGATTCCGCCTAGTCAGGAGGCCCTGAAAGCCGCACAAGCTATTCCCCGTGGACAGGCTATCTGGTCGGACGGTTCAAGGTTAGTAAACGGCTGAACTGGAGCGGGAATTGCATGGCAAAACCCAGTAGGGATATGGAAAACCCGAAGCTTTTCACTGGGTAAAGGACATGAGGTCTTTGATGCCGAAATTCTAGGAGTGGTGCGAGCTCTACAGATGGCAAAGACGGTAGGAGGCCAGGGACCGGTAACAGTCCTATTAGACTCCCAGGCTGCCATTGCCAGGCTGCAGCATACCCAATCAGGGCCAGGACAGGCCCTAGCAGTGCAGGCGCATACAGCTGCCCAGGAACTGCAAGCCCAGGGTCGCGAACCCACCATACAATGGGTCCCAGGGCATGCAGGGATAGAAGGAAATGAAAGAGCTGACCAGGCAGCAAAACTGGCCGCTAGCAGACCTCCAGGAGCTGGTCCAAGGGAGATCTCTTTGGCCTTTGCCCGCAGAGCCCGGACAGAGACTATTCAGGCACAAAGACAAGAATGGCTTACCAAGGAGCTCAATCAGCGATCTCAACAGGCCCAACAATCCTACAGGCCATACAAAACTTGGCAAATTGACCCATTAGCCGCAGTGGCCCCCAAACACCTGTCAAGCCGCTACTTCAGCTGAAATCAGGACATGCAGCTATTGGAGTATATTTATACCGGATCAAGGCCCGGGAGGACATGGAATGCCAGGGATGCGGAGCGCCAAAGGAAACTGCATACCACCTTTTCTTTGAATGTCGACAATGGCGACACCAACGGGGCAAGCTCTACAGGGACCTAGAAAAGGCAGGGATTATGAGACCTACTGCTGCAGAAAGCTGCCCTGAGGGAAGACTGTTTGGGGAGCCTAAGGCCACGGGAGCTCTGCTGCAATTCCTAGCCAACACTAAGATAGCTCTTACTCAAGGTTACCTGCAAAAAGCTGCAGAAAGAGCCCGTGCCGATGACGAAAGGGGCCTAGAGGCGTTAGAGGAAGCGGATAGGACAGGAGAGGGATAACAGGAAGGGTAGCCTAAGCTGGCCAGGCCAGTTTAGGCTACCCATCCTGCTTTGACAAGGAGAGCACTCCGGGGAGGCTCAAAAGCCCTACGCACACAGGCGGTTTGGGGCGAGGAAAAGGATTAGAATGATTATAGAAGGGGGCGAGCCCCAGGAACTTATTGGAACAAGAGACCACGGGACGGATGTTGGGGCTCAGGTTCATGAAATACGGTCTGTCATAGCTCTAGGGCTCGATATAGACAATAAACTTGATTAAATAATAATAATATGTCATATATTATACACTTTGAATACGAGTTCGGATTGGAAAGGGTCCGGAATTGACCGGTGCTTGCTCTAGTGTAGGTTAGAACCTGCAAAGTAAATTGAGGCCATTTCCATTGCTATAGATATTTCACAATCAGCTGTAAGCCTCACGGATCTTTTTCAAGGGATCATCCTTGTGATATGCCTGATCTTCCCGCCAAATATCACCGCGGTACGGCCGACCGGGGCCCTTATCTTCGTAGGACTCTATGATATTAGAGACCTGATTTGTAAATCCATCACAGAAATGCTTATCCCCATGTTCATCCCAGTGAACCTCGAAACGGGCCAACGCTTGGCCCAGTGGCATAGAACAGCTGTCCTGACACTCTGTAATTGCTCCACCCCCCACAATCACAAGGGCGTACATTCTAGAGCGAAATTTATGCTCCTTGGCAGAGTCAAACTGTTTCCACAGATCCAGAAGCATTTCGTCGCAGTTAGGCTTTACCCAGTGTGAGATTGACCGAAAAAATGATGGAGCCATCTCCCGAGAACATGCCAAATTGTTCCAAAAAACACCTGGTGATTGATGTAGCCCACCGGCGGAGACTTCTCCTAGCATACCTGGATTTCTTGTCAAGCATTCCGAAGCAGGTAATAATCGAAGATCTAGAAGAGACTTTTCGTTCCATTCAGATGGGTTGTCGACAATGCTCGCCACTTCCAACCCTAAATCGGAGAAGAGTTGGTTGATAGTATCGCGCGCTGTCCCAAGGCTGACAATATTGAAGGAACACACTGGGTCCGTTTGTGTTGGCTCAAAGTGAAATCGAAAAGATACTGTAATATCCCTGGAAAGCGCAGTTGCTCTTTGAAAAGTTTGATATCTCGCGCAGGTTCGTAACTGTTCCCAATCGATCGGTGTAAAACGCCACGTCGCAAGAGTAGGCTGGTCTATAACGCTGAGCCATATCTCGGTAACTACCCCCACTTCTGCAACTGCACCACCGCGCATCGCATATAGTAGGTGAGGATGGGTTTTTTGGCTCACTTCCAGAATCTCCCCGTTCCAAAGGACAACACGTCCGCCGATAACGGACTGGCACCCAAGACCATAACGACGACCCAAGAGAAGGTCCCACCCTGCAGTAAGAAAGTGGCCGCCTGCGCCGACTCCAAAACAATCCCCATGGGGGACCGCCTTGCCATGCTTCGCCAAAATGTCGATAACTTGAGCCAACACACAACCGGGCTCCAGAAACATCGTGTCACCCACAATCCGCCTCTGATTCATGGATGCCATGTTGAGCATGATATCTTGACAGGAAGCTCCGTTGAAGTATCCATGGCCACCGCTTTTCACAGAAACTTCAAAGTGATCATACAGTTTCCGGTCCGTCATCAAGGTGAGGGCCTTAGAGACCCCCCATTCACTCTTTGGGGAGACCACAAGCGCTGGAATAACGGCTGCTCGATCGTGCATCATCGCATTAGGATGTAAACTTTCTCGAGTAGTGACTTGTACATGTACCGCATACTTTTCCAGTACGGCCTTGAACTCATTAAGCTTAGCGGTCTTAGTGTCGAGATCGCCATCTAGGCTGTTGACTTGGGAAGGCATTCTTCTGAAAGTGTTGCTAGGACGGAAAAATTGTTCTGTCGATGTAGAAAGTGCGCGATGTTGTAGGTGAAAAAAATAAGTAGTAATTCGTGATCTTGAATTAAGGCTAAGAGGAATTCACATTCCTTTTATATGCACTTAAGAGCGGTCATCAGACTATTTTCTACCGTATACTACTGTATTGGGAGTACATACGAAGCCCACAATCAACTTTGTGAATTTGAAATAAATTCACTTGTTTGGAAATAAAACAATCCTGTGTTGCTATCGCGAGTAGCTAGACTTCAAACGAACCCTCTTGTGTTTTTGTTCTTTCATGCTGACAAGGGTGCTTTCAACTGTGAGGAGCACCGCCAAAACAGCACCGGTAGCTCTGTTGTTCATGTTTGTTACTTTATGGCTCTCCTCCGTTCATCTGTTGTCCATAATCCACTTTGTGCGACCAATGAGAAGATTAGAGTCAGCTGTCCAGCCCACGCCTTGGTTTCTGTTAGAGCGTTATGATTCCGAACACATTTAATAGCGCCAAGACATCTATTGAAATGTTCGAACACTCGAACGTGCAACAAATTCTGCGTGGAAAAATATTACAGTATTGCTTTCAGGAATATTCCCACTTGCAAACGCCTATGGCCGTTCGTGACGTCCGCGAGTGTATTGAAAAGAGATCCGGCATAGAGCGTAACTGACAGGATTCTTCCGATGACAATGCGTCCTGAACAAGCATCCGATGCTGTATGTGTAGACCCTATTAGAGATGGGAGGAGCGATGTGTTCTTACAAGTGTATTGTATATCCTGGTTCTAAAAGGTAGTCCTATTGGGATTGCTGGCGGGCGCATGCAGTCACCACGAGAGTCGTGTAGCTTTTCTTTCAAATCATCGTATTTGCTTGCCTTTTAGATTGATTCATCGCTCCCGACAATATCGCTGCCTAGGCCTCCGCGCCCCATAAGGCTCGGTGATCCATCTCTTTTGAACATGTAACTAATTACTGTATGATCGCTGCTGGGCAACGAGCCAGAAACTCAGCCACATGTGAGCAAGGAAAATGTAATTACAGGATTTTTATTATAAGTCTTCTTGTGTTGCACAAAAATATTTGTACCTGCGACACTGACTTTCTGGTGCACCTGCTCGGATAAGAAAGTCTGTCAATAAAGTAAAAGAAAGGTGGGCTTGTTCTCATGAGTAATCTAGAAGAGCCTTTTTACTCCGGTACCGGAATCAGTATTATTGACTTCCCGTCCCAGCCTGTCGTAGTCGATGACTATGCGTGATTTGACCATGGGAACGGCTCGGAATAAGAATAATCCTGGTAATTCACTAGTGCGGGAACGCCATATAGACGGGCCGCCAGTGGGCGATAGACGAGTTCAGCCCACTGCCAAGGATCGCATCCCCTGTCACGCCTTGTTTATGACCTCACCAAGACCCGTGCTCCATCACAGGGGTATAGTAAAAAAGAGAAATGATTGTAACAATATTCCATCTCAGTACAATTCAGATAGAAGCAATTGTAACTAGCCAAGAGTTTCCAAAAAAGACTCAAGATTACGGTATCCCGAATACAGGACGCTTTACCCGAGAAAATTGCTTTGTACCAAGTAATTTGTTGTAGAAAGTAATGATAATGACTGGGGAAGCTATTGTTTGGTCAGTTCAACTTTTTATTAGCCAAAAAAGCAGCATTGGCAAGTTAGGAATAGGATAGCTCTGGCGGGTGGAAGTTACATAAAAGCTACAACTGCCCGTGGATCGCTGTAGCAAACATAAGAGCCTTAACGTATTTCCCCACCGAGTAGGCCACACCACCGAGTCGGCCACCTCACTAAAAATCTACGCGTTTTATCGCCCTACTCAATTCAACCATCTATCATGCCTCCAAAAGCGCGTCAAAATTCGAGAAATTTAGCGGAGCAGGAGGGAAGACTTCTACTTGCTATTTCTGCTTTAAAAAATCAAGAAATCTGCAATATTCGTGAAGCAGCGCGTATTTACAATGTGCCTCGTTCTACCTTGCAAGATCGACTACGCGGAAAGACAACACGCTCAGAAACACGCGCCAATAGTCATAAATTGACTCAAAATGAAGAGGAATCGCTTGTACAATGGATTCTATCGCTAGATCGACGCGGAGCGCCTCCCCGGCCGTCTCATATACAAGAAATGGCTGATATTCTTCTTACTGCGCGCGGTACGACGCCAATTCAAACAGTCGGAAAGAACTGGACCTCTAAGTTTATTAAACGACGTGACGAATTAAAAACACGCTATAGTCGACGCTACGATTATCGACGAGCGAAATGCGAAGACCCTAAAACGATCAGAGAGTGGTTTAACCGCGTACAAATTACTATAATGCAACATGGGATTGCACAGGAGGATATCTATAATTTTGACGAGACTGGCTTCGCTATGGGCCTAGTAGCTACTGCCCAAGTAGTTACTAGAGCTGATTATTATGGAAAAGCATATCTTGTACAGCCAGGCAATCGACAATGGGTTACTTCGATCGAGTGTATTAAATCTACTGGTTGGGCCCTTCCTCCATGTGTGATCTTGAAAGGGAAGGTCCATATAGAGGGTTGGTATCAAGATAATAAGCTCCCACGCGATAGTAGGATTGAAGTTAGTCCTAATGGATGGACTACTGATGAGATAGGCCTTCGCTGGCTTAAAAATATCTTCATTCCTATTACTTCTAGTCATACGACTGGGAAATATCGTCTTCTGATTCTGGACGGCCATGGTAGCCATCTTATACCTCAATTTGATCAGCTCTGCAGCGAAATAACGTGATTCCTATCTGCATGCCTGCTCATTCTTCCCACAAGCTTCAACCTCTGGATGTCGGCTGCTTTTCACCTTTAAAAAAGGCGTACGGAAAGTTGATAGAGCAGAAAGCGCGTCTAGGAGTCAATCATATCGACAAATTAGACTTTTTTTAAAGGCCTTTCCAGCTGCCCGCGAAAGCGCTTTTCAATCAGAAACTATCAGAAATAGTTTTGCAAGCGCGGGCCTAGTTCCATTCAATCCAGATAGGGTACTCAGTCAGTTGGACATCCAACTAAAGACCCCTACACCACCAGGCAGTCGATCAACCAATTCAGCGCCGAAAACGCCCTATACTACTAGGCAGTTAGAAAAGCAGGCATCTGCTACAGAAAGACTGCTTAGGGAACGCGCTTACAGTCCTTTACCATTGCTAGAATCACGATTAGACAAGATTATTAAAGGTCATGAATTGACTTTAAATGAGCTTGCTTTAACGCGTGAAGAACTGCGCAAATACCGCGCTGATAATGAATGGAAAGGTCAAAAGCGCAAGCGCTCTACTAGGCAGCTAGCTATTGCAGAGGGGCCACCTATTCAGGAAGGCCTAGAGCAATTCCAGCGCGAGAATGAGGTTAATGAAGCTCAAAATACGCTTCCTATAGATCCTTGTGGCAGAAATATGTGGGTCTACCGTGAAGCGATTATTCAACTAAGGAATAGGATCGTTTTCAACTGAATGAAGGTCTTGATTCTTTCTAATTACACGATAAAGAAGCCGATATTTATGCAATTTCAGGGGCTTCAGGATCGTCATAAAATGAGCGGAATTGCATGATCTATATCGTCATAAATCATACGATTTTATATTGATCGGTTGCATGATCGGTCCGGTCAAGCAAGGCGATGATATAAGCGGTTTAGTCATCTCCCGCGGCCACAATCCTGCACTTTCTGCAGTTGGACCGCGCGTACGAGCGCCACCGCGCTGCAGTGATTGCCATAATCTAGGACATAGGCGATTGCAATGTCCTAATCGAGTTTCTAATTAATTTTTAGATAGAAATGCAATTGCTTGGTTGATAAAGGCCCTAGTAATTAGAAGTTGGTAGGCGGTGGCCGACTCGGTGGTGTGGCCGACTCGGTGGGGAAATACGTTACATGTATTATACTTAGTAATACGCTGTTTCAACCCTTACCCGTAATTCTACGGAAAAAAGACAGGTACAGTTTCAGACTAGTCTTGAAGTCTAAAGACATGCGTGTGCACTCGCACCATTTTGGCAACCAGGTGTAGAAACAATGCTTAATCAACATTATCATTACTTATTATCTAACCAACTGTGAGAACATTATTGTCTGGTACGCTTTCTGACATGTTATTTTTGTACTTTTTTGTGCCCTCATTTCTAGTCCGTCAAACATATCGTCAACTAAGCTTTTTGATTCACACATATCCATGACATATCTACGGACTCAATCAAACTAGCTGGCTATATAATGGTCATAGTACTGATACCCATGCACTGGAAAGTTTTGTTAGCGTTTCATTTTCAATCCAATAATATGATGAAACTCTACGGACCAAGCCCTACCACACAATACCGAGCATTATTCAGAAACATAGTGCCGTGATAGGTACAAGTAACCTCAAACTTCCTTATCCACATATGCTCGCAGACATGAACTTCACGAGGGGACGTAGGTTTGTCTGTACATGATTCTGTATCAGCGCAGATGCCGCAAGCAAAACAGTAGCAACAGCGGCCGGCCCAAAAGCATTTCGCAAAATGAACAATCCAATCAGAAATAGGTCCATTGTGTAAATGCCAACAAACAGATGGTTTAGAGCTTCCCAATACAGCATGCCAGCGGTATCTAGCTCTGTTTCAAGAACATAGACGGCCTGGTAAGAATGAATTATAAGAAATACTCCAAACATCACCGAGCCAAGGAGCAATATCAGCGGGGAAATGACAGAAAAGACAGTACCTAAGTGATTTGTCAGAAATTTCCTGCGATAATGGGTCAATTCCATACATATACAGATAAGGTTCGTGAAAACAGGGTAAAGCAGACTCCATTGCACTGTTCGCAAGTTCCGCTTTTTCCAACGTTGTCGCACACAAGCCCATAGGCTGTCAGGTAGTTGAAATAAAACCATGATAGTTTGTGTGATGGTTTGCAGTAAAAAATAGGAGTAAAAATAATTACTTGCTTTTGGCAAGTTTTTAGCCAACACTGACGGTACTGATTGAACATCGTTGACAATTTCGGGGATCATCGTCGTCACACTGGAAGATATTGATACTACTATGAAGAGCTGAGTGAAAAGGAAAATAAAGTAGAGCCTTTGCAAGAGGACCTCAATAGACAGCCGCTCAAAAGCAAGGTAAAATTGAGTCAGAAACCGAAGAACAATAGGAAAACAGTACATAAGTATCGACACTGCCACTTGGGGGGCCAGTCCTTGAATTGCGCCCAACTGGTAGTCCGAGAGGCCACTCAGTTTTGGGCTGATGCTTTCTAGATACACCAACTGCGAGAGAAGACCAGTAAAGGATATAGGTACCGCCCAAAGTATGGCTAAAAAATTCAGGGTTATGGTGATAACAGCGCCCCATAATGTCCTGAGAGCCCTGCTCTGGTAGATAATGGAGTCAGATGCCACGATGTTGCTGTCAACATTATGAGCTTCTAACTTCATGGGAGTTGACGATGCTCTTGCTTGTAGCACAAGATGAGCCGTAAAGGGATCTGAGAAATGGAGTAGTGCAACGCTTTTTGTTCTATCAATATCATTTTGTATACGGCGAATTTGCCATTGGAGTATGGCTTCTCCTATGATCCGTGAGATAAAACCCCGTATATCAAATCTGAGAATGCTCGCCCAAGGAGAGGTTTGTTTCATATTGGCAAGATCTTGATAGCGAGTTGCCATGTCGATTTCCATAGCCTTGCAAATATCAATTTTGGGAAGGGTTATATCTACTGGTCCTCCGTTCATAGCCGAATATACGCTCTCCAACTTCTCTCTGTTCCACATATACGGCGGAATTTCGGTGACCAAAATTGTGGTCGTGCCTAGAGTTTGGGAGTATTTATGGAGATAGGCTTGTCTTATTTCCACGAGCCTCTTGAATTCAAGAAGGAGAAGACGCCATAGATGGATATTCACAAGTGATGAAGCGAAGGCTGTAATCCACCATCGTCCGCATTGATCTTTTTGAATATTCGATATGCTGAATCTGTCAAGGCCTCCAACCTGTGCGCTGTTGGCTAGGCAGTTTACAGCGAGCAGTAAAGGTAGAATCAAGACGGCCATAGGCGCGAAGATTTTGATAGCCAATTGGAGAAGCCGCAAGAAAAAATAGCAATCAAATCCAAATCTGTTGACAAGTTCTGTATCATCTCTAAGAAGCTTCCACACATGTTTGATCCATACAGCCCTGCCTCTAGGTAACGGCAGGACATCGGTGTCTATTTGGCATCGTGGTTGGCTTTAAAATAACTTGTTAGCAGTTGGTGATGAAAGGAGTAACGGAACACATACAAGAAATCAATTTTACTGTCTTTTAAAAAAGTAAACAAGTACGTGGCTGGTATGAATATGCCACCATATACAGCTAAAGAGACCACAAAAGATTGGACAGAGAGACCTTCATTCTTCTGAGCCTTTCCAGCTGCATCGTTGACGGTTCTATTTAAGGTGGAAATATCCATATTCGTTATGAGAGTATTGTGATTTCAATCTTAGCTGCGGGCTTCGATGAAATTATGTAGCTGGGACCTGGTTTTGCCTTTACATACACAGTTTCATCACTTTTATTTGCTGAGGGAGTAGTATTTAGATATGTCTCACGCAGTCATTTAGCACGCTTCGCTCCTCACCCTGTTGAAATGGGCCCTACAGCGGATGGAAATAATCGGCCATCTCTAACTTTACTGGGGACCCATAAAGGTTACAAAGAAGCATAATTTGGTTGTAGCTCGTGGTTGGTCGACTACTTGAATCTACACAATCTTAATATAATCATTGTGAAAGATCCTTAAACCATTCGACATGAATTTCGAGATATAAGACCAGCAAACCCTCGACAGCTGTTTAATAATATCGCCATGATAATCTCCAAGATGCTGGGGACCCTGCTTATTTCTATGTTAGTTTGCCTAGGGCAATGTCTCACTGTCGATTTTCACGGAGATTTTGACTTGAATGGTATCGCCCATCATACGACTCAGGATAATGCATTATCCAATTCTATACTGAGCGCCCATAGCCAGATGCCTGAAACTGTACATTCACAAATGACTTCAGTAAACACGCCAACATCAGTTGTTTCGAGTAATGAGTATCAAAGGGTTATATTTCCAGGTACCCCAAGAAACAGATCAGAACCCGGAGGCAGTAGTTCAAAGACTTCTTTTATAAATGCTGGAAGCTACCGTGTGTCTGCACATCTGCCTACGTCTTCGGCCTGGGTAAAGTCTGCACCGAGTTGCTGCCATATCACGACATACCACAAAACCCCAAGGCCCACTACGCTCAGCACAAGTCGACAGGGAAATGGCGTGCATGACGTGCACCAAATTTCAACCAGCCATTTCAAGTGGCCACAAACCACACCCAAAGTGTCAAGCTTAGCAAACTTCAATACGACGGCACTCGCATCCAAAGCAGAGAAGGTTGGAACCTCCTTCATGGTAGCTGTGGCCTCTATCATTTGCTTTCTACACATGGTGTTCCATTAAGGCGGAGTCATACGGATCTATCCTGCTCACCAAAGTTCCCCAATACAATTGGAAAGTCTCAAGGCGCAGTTGCCATTTTGAATACAGCTGGGGCTTTTGGTGTAAAGCCAATAAAGTGAACGAACTAGTCTGGCAAGGAAAAGAAGCTCACTTCTATAAACAATCATGAAAAATCGAAAAAACTTCGATAATCAGGGCAGGTTTACCAGGAACTGTAACTAAAGCGCAAAGACTGCAAGGCATATTATGACTTTAATGCATTGTTATTAGTTAGTTAGTACAACTTAGTAAGTTATGTGTAATTGCAAAGTCTTTCTTTAATTTCCATTTTCGCACCTTCTTTACATACAGTGATCTGCGAAACGACCCTGCCCCCCCAGACTGCACTTTCCCGCTTTTTAAATATACGCCGAGAGAGGCTAATACGCATATGGTTAATGAATGCTTGGCACGTAACAAAAACTGTACATGTAGTGAAATTAATAATACCATAACAAAGAGTCTCTGTAAATTACCAGTATCGTTTTATTTGACTCATCGACATCGTCACCGACATTCGGCCGCAAATACTCCAGATTCTCCCATGCCCAACCGACTCCTTCTCTCCCCCTGCTCTTCAGTGCAGCCTCGACCATAAGGTTAGCTAGACTTTCGTTGCTTCAGTCTTCTCAGCTATCAACATGCGACCGCCAGCACTACCGACCACCGTCGTTCCATGTCTCGCCTGTCCTCTGTGTGGTTTCGAACGCAAGGGTAGCTAGACTCTCTTGTTGCTTCCAGTCTCCTCAGCTACCGACGTACGACCACCAATATGAATAGATTCCTTCCTCCTCCTGTCCTCTCAAACGCCTCTGGAACAAAATAATAGCTAGACCGTGGCTCTCAGGTCTCCGCAGCTATTATACACGACCGCCAATACCCTTGATCGCCTCCTGTTTCGGCGTTCCTGTCCGCCGTGTGGCCTCGAACCGAAGGATGGCTAGACCTCTGCTGTCTGGGATCTCCGCAGCCATCGAAGTACGACCGCCTACACTACAGATCGCCTCCTTTCCTTGTCTCCTCCGCCCTCCGCGTGCCTCGAACAGACGGATAGCTGGACCTTCGCTGCCCAGGGTCCCCGCAGCTATCGATGTACGACCACCAATATCACAGATTATTTCTCCGTCTGGCTCCTCCCTCTCTATACCGCTTCGAATCGAAGGATAGCTAGGCTTGCGCGTTGGGCCTCCGCAGCTATCGACGTACGACAGCAAACATCATAGATCGCTCCGTCTCCGTCCTCCCCCCCATCCAAATTTCACCCATGCGGCCCCAAATCGAAGGATAGCTAGACTTGTGCGTTAGGTCTCCGCTATCGATATGCGACCGCAATTACCACAGATTCTCTTCCCCCTTCGCTCTCAATATGATCGCCAGTCACCCGGCCGCCTGAGCCTAGACGCCCCTCATATCCCCATATCATCACAGCGAGCTTTTCCCCTATTGAGGTTTTTACTCCTACCGATGAAGACAACAGACAATAGCACCTAATAGAGGGGCGAATCAGTCGACAGGGGGCTTTCCTAATGTCTAACAAGAGACGCACTCACGATGAGAACGAACATCGTACACATCATTTCTCTGTCTCATACATTCTCTTGTCTAGGGACCGTATCTGGCCTCTATGACAGAGGGCAAGACCGATTACAAGACGTCAAGACCCAAACATACAGCACACATACGCAGTCACATGGGGCGAGGTCTGAAGTTGCTAGATCTAGGCTAGTGATGGATATCAAACCCTTGGGGTATATAGGTACCGCAGAAAGCATGGGGCGACCCCTGACCTACGGGTTCGTGTGGAGCCAGGTTTTCAAGTACACCCAAAACTACAGATGTAAATAGTTATCCATCGTTAACTGCCCAAGCCGCTTGATAGTGGTGGGGCGGTTCCCGCATAGCCATCGACTATGATAGGCTGGGACGGCGAATGAATACATTCATCCATCCATCCATTGATCCTGACGATCACGTTTCAACTATATGAAGCATTGCGTGTTCAGAAGATTGAGATGGAAATATTTAAGTAGCCAGATATTACAGATAGTTCAAGAGGGCAGACCCTCATTCATTCGTTTTATGACCGCTACCTTGGTGTGTATGAGAAATACCGATTCTGTTTGACATTTTCAGTACATCCACGCGCTTCTAAACTACCCCAGGAGCTTGCTGAACGAATCCCAGGAAAATTGGGTCTCGCTATCAAGGCGGTGGCAGAATCTTAGGTCCCCCTCTCCGCAGTCCAGCGCTGTTACAGAACCAGCACCAGAACTGCTCATTTCGGTGGCAGCTCAAAGGAATATAGGCCCATGCACAAGCCCCTGTTTCTTTAGTATAAATGCCGAATCAGACTTTGCAGATTCTCTGTGGATTCTGCCACAGTTCTCCAGCACAATGATCTCCATTGTACCCAACGAAATCCTGTTCCTCGTTGCAGGTAACTTGGAAGGAAACGACCTGAATTCTCTTCTTCGGACCAACCGTCATCTGTTCATGACCTTGAACTGCAGCCTGTACCAACAAGGCATGCTACGTCGTGATGCCTGGCCACTTATCTGGGCTATTCTGAATAACCAAAGCCAAACGCTGGAAAATGCTCTCAACACGGGTGCCAAAACCCTAGGCGAGGCACTTGCGCTGGCTGCAGAGTATGGCCAGGAAAAAACCGTGGAAAGACTCCTGGAAGTTGAGTCTGCAAATTTCGCCGCCAACTATGATACAGAAGATGAAGCTTTGCCTGCGAATTGGACAGCTCTAGAGCGTATCTATCATCATTCTGCCTCTGTTTCTGAACGGCACCAGTCTTATCTCGGGACTTTGCCCAAATGGACTGATCACTGTCCGTTTGATTGTGATAGCTTGTCCCCTCTGGCCCGTGCAATCAGAGGAGACTACTTGAAAATTGCGCAGCTTCTCGTCAATTCAGGCAAATTGGACATCGACCTCCCTGAGTATGAAGGTCGGACACCCTTGTCATATGCGGTTCAGTTTGGCAGCCTGGCAATTGTGAATCTCCTGGTCAATTCTGGAAAAGCCAATGTTGATTCACATTGCCATGGTGGGCGAACACCACTTTCATGGTCAGTTCAGCACTCAAACCACCTCAGTTTGTCCGGGCAGTTCACAAATATGCACGATGGAAAGAGAGATGCCAATAGCCAAGAAATTTCCCTTGATACATCAATTCTTGAAGTTCTTCTAGGTACTAGAAAAGTCAATCCCAATTCTAGGGATCAATATGGTCGGACACCACTTTCCTATGCTGCTAGCTTCTCAAAACCAGCTGTTGCGAAATTCCTTCTGGATACTGGTGTTGTGGGAATTGAGCAGGAATGTGATGAGGGATGTACCCCGTTTTTCTATTCTGTGGAAGCAGGCAATACTGCTACGGCAGAGCTGCTCTTAAACTCAAACATGGTTTATCTTGATCCGAAGAACAATGATGCTCAAGGGGCATTTTTCCGATTTATGTGCACTTGCTCGCTTACTCTGTTACATGGAGAATCACCTGAGACAATTTCTTGTCCCTTCTTCCGGGACTCCGTAAAGGATCTCAGAGCAAGTTATGTTCACCTTTTGAACATCCTGGTTGAATGCCAACAGATTGATCTTGACGAAGTTGATGACAATGGCATAACACCCTTCATGATTGCACAACGACTAGGCGCAGACTTTGTCCAACCTCTGATAGAAAGCGGACAAGTTAGTCTAGATGAACGGGACTTTGACGGTCGGACTCCGCTTTCATATGCAGCGGAAGAAGGTGACCATGAGTCTATCAAACTTCTGATAGAGACTGGTCGAGTTGACTGTGATTCGCGAGATTCGGATGGCCGAAGCCCACTGTCATATGCCTCGGAATCAGGGAATATACAGTCTGTCCGTCTTCTTTTAGACACAGAAAAAGTTAACTGCAAGTCCCAAGACGATCAAGGTCGGACCCCAATTTCATATGCTGAAGGACGAGAGGACAAAGATATTTATCGACTGTTCGTTAGTGGATACAGTGAGGCGAATGCAGTTACATCTTAACCTTGGCTTTCAAGGCCTCGGGCCTTCTCAGATACAGTTTGCGAAACAGACGGCAATTCCTTTTCATGAAGAATTTTTTCCACGATTTGCACACATAATGAATGCTCCTTTGATGGCATCAGTCGGATGAGCTGTAGGTCATTGCCCCAAGAAGGACAGCACTAATTAATTCAATGCTAGTGCCATGTTCGTGTCAGAATCACAGGCCAATATGCAACAAAGAACGCTCAGTTGAGGAAGCTGCAGCTGACAGGGCAAATAAGATGATGAGCGACCACATTAGTCTACGTCACAGCACTGTTTGTTATGATGAGTTCGAAAGTTTTGTTTTCTCGGTTTATCAGAGGCTTTAGAAATCTGGGTTGGAAGTTCCAGACAAAGCTGGAGATGTTGACAGATTGCCAAATGAATCCAGCTCCATCACGTGCTTGACTGATTTACATAGAAGGTTCTTGAATCCTTTGTATCTGTCAACCAAAATGACCGGATACCGGAGATAGGAAGATCCGCATGATCAGCCATGCTCCTGACGATCATGTTTCAACTATATGGAGTATTGCGTGTTCGGGGGATACAGATGGAAATACTTATGTAGCCAAAGATTACCGATAGTTGAAGAAATCAGACCCTCATTCGTTTAATGACCGCTACCTTGGTGTGTATGAGAAATACCGATTTTGTTTGACAGTATCTTATTTACGCTACATGTGTACATACTGTATACTATATACCGTTATAACAATACATGATTACGGTCATTTTCTCGACACTATCTATAAAAGGATTAGTGTATCTTGGCGTGGAAATTTAAGGCTGGAAGTAGTTCTTGGGGGGCAGGCTCATTTCGCAGATCACTGTAGTGCCAAAACCATGACACTACAGTAGACCACGGGACCGTCACAGGTTCGGGCACTTAAGAACTATTGCAGTACGCTTGGAACTGGTAGAGGCTCACCAAGGCAGATTAGAGTTCTCCTTCAGGCAGAGCAATAAGGCTCTGAGCCTAACATAGAAACAATTGAGGTAGACCCAACATACGGGAGAGACTGCGTGTACTCATACACTTGTTTGCGAAAGCAATGTCACCCCCAAACAACTCTTTTGTTGATTACACCACTGGTCTAGACCATAAACAGTTAGAATGTTTAATAGTTGGCCAATTATCTGCATGTATTCAGAGTGCCAAGGTTGCCGCTAGCCATACTTGGCTTAGATTCAATCCTTAACGACCAACAAGGAAGATTGGGGGGTGACACTATTTTTGCAACCAACGGTACAGCTTCAGGTAGTGTCTGCAAATAGCATGTCACAGATTCACATAGATACTTCCAGCCAAAGAAATCGCGCATTAGTTTATCGTCAGCCAACTCCTTAAATAGCGGAATGCATCCTACCTCACGGCATGCTAATGAAGATCAAGTCAACTTTCAGGTCCTCTTCGTTATTAAATAACTGTCCATCCTTACACGCCCTTCATCCAAGTTTCTATCGGAGATGTATTCGCCGACTAATCCTGCCAGCTCTGCACTGCCCACTCGCCGCGTCACTAGAGAGAGGAGAAATCGACGAGAGCATCGTTACCGTAGCGTTCTATGGACATATACAGAGTGAGTTACTTTAACGTACGTAAATCGAGTACAGAACTGACGTTACCTGGGCTAGATATCTTGTCGAGACCGGCCGAAAGAGCGATGGATTTCATATCCAACATGACTTTCCTACGCCCTCGCTTGTTGATTTCAAAATGTTTATTCTGTGGTATTTGTCGTCGACAGTAGGAAAGGATGGGACACGTCCCTCCCTCAGCCACATTATGTTTTTTGCATCAAAGCTTCTTAAGGCACTCAAATGGCGGACTAGGCTCCAGGTTCCGCTGGTTACAGCCAGAGAACTAGAAATGGTCGGTAATTATTCTACTGTATAAACGGTACAACGCTCTGACCTTTCCTTAGTGGATTGATTGCGACCTGGTCAGTGAAGGTTTGGTTCTGTTGGGATACCCAAGGAGGACTCTCCGTGATGCCGAATCAGCCACGGTGCTCCCTCATCTCATCACCGGCCTCCATACGATGGAAATTATCTAAGAAGGCATAAGGCCGGACCTATACCGGATTGATGTCGAGGTTCCATACCAGTACTAGTCCTTCACATTCTGCGAAGAGCATCGGCGTCTAAACGCAATACTTTGTTTAACGCCTGTTCACCTGAATAGCCTTGTTTAAAATATGTTTACCCCAGTAGGTTTGTTTATATCCGAAAGATTCGTTTAGCACATGTTCACGTGAAGATAAATCGTTGTTCTATCTTATCTTTGTGCCACCTTATCAAGCCCCGACCACTGTAACGCATGTAAGGACAGGCGCGTGCTGCTAGTCCAGCCAAAATAAAACTCATGGCACGCTAGATTGAGTATCACCCAAGGTGTTCTGGGGTAACAATTCTCGTATACAAGCTGGGCTGTGGGCCGAAGTTGTGTTCAACTTATTAACCCGATACACCGAATATGCGGAGGAGCCCTACGGAGTACAGTTTCTACATACAACCTAAAAAAAAGATTTACCGTATCAGTAAACATACTGTGCTAAAATGTAGCAAACCCAACGACCCTGCAGACTCCAGCTGCCGTCCGATTTCCATTCCCATAGTTTTGTTTGGCCATTGCCCTCTGATCAGACTAGAAAAAGAGCCATAACCAAAGACGAAAACTTCTCGCACTTAATCAACTTTCGGACATGCGAAGGGTGGGGGGATGTGTGACGAACTGACCAAGAACCACTATATAGAGCGATGCGCGTACCAAGTCGAAGACTTGATATTCTGGTCTTTTTAGTAGCTCAGTTGGTAACTGTCCTCCAGATCTACTAAACGGTCTTGGCGGGTAGAAGCGCACCTACCCATTGCCAAGCCCGTGACATCAACCAACTTTGAACAGATCCACACTAAAGCTGACTAGAAATCGCGTTGATTGGTCCTCACTCGTCTGCAGGAAATTTCTAAGCATCCAAACCCTGAATGCTCATAACCGTGAAAATAATCCTCGTTCTTGTTACGGACCCTTGCAACACTAAGAGCCGCGAGGCAGAAACGATAGGACAACAACGGCCCGAGGCTGATGACGCTACGGAGGAAACATGGATCACGTGATATGGTATGCTGGCACCATATGGTATACGATATACCATCGGGTATGTTGTAGACCAGATGGTATGCCGCAGACCTATAAGGTATACGGGATGGTATACTCAAGGAGGACTATATAAGGACGCTCGTTCACCCACCTGTTAGATAGTTCTTGTTTAGTTCTTCGTGTTCAATAACAACTACATCTTTGATAGTAACTTGCTACTGCTATTAGATTCGCCCATCACTATCACAGGAAGGTATACGTACCAACCTGGCCTTACTTCTATCTTTGCTGCAATCAGGATCCTCAGGAGGATCACCGATACACTTCCCACCCGTTCCAGTTGGTAGAGCCACGGGCTCTCAGGATAAGTATCACCCATCTAGGACTCAGGATCAACCAGTTGATCACCCAGTGCTCGGACTTATCTACGGTAGCAGACCAGCGCAGCTTAGACGGATCCTAGGGTTTGACAGTTCTCTTGCATAATTCCGATGGATTTGCCAACAACACTGCTCAGTTCTAACTGCAGCTTCTGTCAATTATTAATTGATCTGAGTATCATGAATTGATAGTAATCAAGAGCCGTTCAATTTCTGCTTGGCGTAAAAGGTCGACACTGGAGGGCGGTTAAATGATGAACAATTTTTTTTTTTTTTAAAAAAAAAAAAAAACCTAGAAACAAAGACGTAGAAAACGAACGCCAAACTGTGCAAGGCTTTGGATCACGTTATAAATCACGTCTCTCCCCGTTATTGAGGGGAAATCCTTAAAGTGGCATGTATACCGGGGAAAGTACTGTTCCCCGTTGTCCCCTTAAGGCCCTTTATTTCCCAATAGGATCTGTTCCCCGTTGTCCCCTTAAGGCCCTTTATTTCCCAATAGGATCAACCCAAGGTAGCAAAATGGATTACTTTAACTGTCGAAGGCGCCTCTCATCGTGCGTCACCATCCTTCTTCTCGTCCACTCTGTTCCCAATTTCGCACTGCAGGTAGGTTGATTGTGGTTTTCGTGAGTCCATTGACTGAATTAGGCAGATAAGAGGACTTCAGGTCATCAATGACGACACCGGGACATTTTCGGGGCCCTTGGGCTTTCCGCGAAATTTCAGTAAGTGCTTTTCAAGCAGAAAAAGGATCTCTTCCGCTCACAGTGTAGACTCCGAATGGGTTCATACCGAGCCCTACTCCTTCATTGATGCAGATCAGTTATCTTTTTTCTGCAGCACCCCTCAAAGATCACCATTCCAACAGACATCGTGGCCCCGATTAAAAGCCACACCGGGTTCGACGATATGCCCGCACTATGTGCCAGATACACTGTCAACCAGGGACCATATGGACCGGGGGATAATAGGCTGGTATGGAAGTAGCACAGATAACCGCAATGACTACAAAAGGCTTTTAGATATCATCAACTTTCCCGAAGACGGAACGGGACAAGGTCAGTAGAAAGTGCATATGAACATCATTCAAGACTAATGGACTGTCAGTTCTTGCAGTGCACTCGTACCCCTCGCTTGTCCATTCCGGTTGCCCGACTCCGTTCCGGATCCCGAAAGATTTGAACACCTCGAGCATCTACACAATCTATTGGCTGTGGAATACAACTGAGCCGTTCGAAACTGGATTCCAAGTATGTACCTGCTGGGGACGCGAGTCTGTACCGTGGCACTAATTCGCTCTTGTATATCTATACTGCATGTTTTGACATTGATATAACGCCTCTTGAGCTGTCAACAAAAAGGTCAAGTTCCAAAGCAATGGCCCTCTCGAGCTTGACTCTGACCTCTACACATTCCATTTGCCCAACTCGCCAGGTATCAACGGCAGGTGGGTCTATGATCGGGCACCGTTTGAGCCTGTCGGGTATAACAAGTCCGACTTCAGTATCACGTTCGATACAGTGTTCCAGGACACCATCATTTTCCTCAACAAGTACCTTGTCTCCCATCTCAACCCTAGGCAGTACGCATGACCAATCGGCCAACGAAGGAACAGAGCTTATCCAATTAACTTCACCCACAGAAGCAGGGAAAACATCTGTAACCCCCAAGAACTCGCCTTCCGTTTCGTCTGCTGCATCGACGCATACCGTGAAGCTCACCTCAGGTGATGTTATCGTATTTGACCGCAAGTATCTGGATGTTTCTGTCGGTGATCTCGTTCTTTTTAAGTCACCAAACGGATCTCTTTTTCTTTTCAACACCACGATTGAAGATCCATGTTCTCCAATTAGTCAATTTGAAAACGAAGACCAGAACAATGTGCTCTATTCAGTACAAAATGCTAGCCCTGCCTGGTTCCTCGCATGCCATTCTGCTGATGCTTGTCGATGTTATCCACCGTCTCATTTTGCCCTCAATCCAGGAATTCATTCTGGTCCGTTCTTCGAAAGGATTGAACACAAATCTGTCTACTTCTCAGTGACAACGGCGCAGCCCACCAGGTCAACAACTACGAAAATAGTGGTAGTTACAAAATAGTGGTAGTTACTGTGTAAATACATCAGGCCTTATATACATTTATAAGCCAGCTTATGGATTCGACGAGTCTAACGCAAAGTAGATTATAATTATTATGTTCCACTAATCTAAAGTTAAGCTGTGGTGGGCCTAGAGGAACAATAGGATCATATGACATTGATCAGTTGTCAAAGATCCGCTCATGGTTAATGAAGACGGATATCAGACAATTTCAGTGTCCTATCAACCACAAAATCTTCGAAAAATCGGTCTTGCCAAAAACTACCATCAATGTTCTCAAATTGTTAAAGTAGCATTTCGAAATGACCATATAGAGTAATATCAGCAGCTATCTGGGCTATAACTCTTTCTCGGAATGGAAATATCACAGAGGCCAGCGCTGTATGTGGCCGTAGCAACCGTCTGAATTGCTTGGATTCTCTAACTATGTGTTGGAACCATTATTCAGCTGACATGCCTAAGTCATATGACTCCTTGGCATGGCAGCTATTATATCTTCGACGAAGCTAGTAGTTTAGAATGGAACTTCACTTTTACCCACCGAGCATATACCTACATTCCGTTGAATCAATAGGATATCTGCTTAGGGCAATGACCAAGTCAACCGACACTATGAAATGTGGCCTTGCAGGCGATCTATTTACAAGGTACACGATCTGTGGGATCAGCTGACTTCTACATTCGTAGTCATTTCTTTGTACCTAATTACGTAAGTTAAAAATGTTTCTTACTTCCCGAGAGCCCCCTACAAACCGGTGCTTGGTTGTCTATTTGATTGAGCCAAGCATCCAGCAGTGGTTTCTTAGTGCAAGCTAGAGCTCATGGCGGACTACCATACCTTACAATACAGACAGCACCAACTAGCGTTGGCCGAAATAGTCGTATGTTAGTACGTTTTTATATGCGGCTAAGGAGGAAGATGAACGAGTGTAGGGGTTTTGGCGCAAATTGTATAGAAGTAAATGAGAATCAATAAGACGCACAGGTAAGCAAAACATTTTATCAAGTATATAGCTTGTTAAGATCAAAGATACTTATAGTCGTCCGATCATCCTCTCAAGATACTATGACACAATTGCTTGATGTGTACTCGACGGTTCTTCCATCCATGCAGTAACAGGTATTAGCAGTAAGTTCCCCGTTTCTAATTTGATAAAAATAAGTCAGGTCTGATGCATCCACATATAAACTGTAACTTACTTAACTAGACAAGTTGACGCGGGTGGTAACGGTGACATCGATGCCCGCAGGGCACTAAGAGTAGTGCCATGCAACAAACTAGCCGCAGAAATAGTGTCTTTGGCTGACGCCGTTGTTGTTTGCCCCGGCGTCTGTGTAGTAAATGCATCATAGCGTGATGAATGTCTATGACCTAGTAGACAAGAGGTTGTCTTGCTTATGGTAGATGTGACCATGGAGGTCTGTGTCGCCTCTGTCAGCTGAGCTGTAGAAGTATCAGCCGCCTTTACCGAAGCGCTATATATGCTTGATCCTGATTGCTCTGTTGTTGCTACTGGTAGGTTCGAACGGGATGACGCTGGTGAAATAAGGACAGAGATTTCCCCGCACACAAACGTTGAGTCTTGTTGGCCTGGTTTACAGTCAGCGCGTCCATTGAGTACTACCAGGGCGGAAGAAGAATGACGCACAGGACTGGAATGCAGCGTTAAGCTGAACTTCACATTCCTCTGTCACCGAAACATACTCCCCTTTTCCGTCACGTACTGATCGTACGTATACGTCTGTGCCACTAAGGCTTGTGAGGAAAGCGCAGGCCCCCAGTATGGACCCTCTGGACTGCAGCTGTGCACTTGCAGCAGCCGCAGCTAGGAATGTGATGATACAGAGATAAATCATTGGACGCCAAACTTTGGACCGAGGTGTTTCTACAAGCAATCCAATCTTCTAGCTTCCAAGAGATATTATTGACTTGCTTATAATGTTCCTATATTCAGAATATGCTCGATATCGAATTTGAAAGTGCCCTAGTGACGCTTTTTATGGTGATTTCACCAAAAGAAAACCATAGAATGGTTTGAACAATCTTCAAACACCTAGCGCAATAAGAAGACTAATCGGTTTTAGTTTGCAAGGGGCTATTCTAGAGTTCACGTAAAAAACATGCCCCTCAGCTGGAAAAATAAAGGGCATACAAATAGACCCCAGCACATACAAATCTTAAATTGCTCGTTAAGACAAACCTGGGAATTATAGCGAGGCATTTGCCTTCAGCGTGCTGTTGCTAGGCACTGCTGAACCAATATTACAATTGCCCACGAATGTTCATCGGAATAAAATTGGGTCCTAAGAGAGACTCCGCCAGCTTTGTTTTGCTGCAAATACTTGTGCATATTCGAAGCTTCATAGAATTGCTAGTGACCGGTGAATGACCAGGTTTTACACGTAGTAGGCAAAAAAGAAGGTACTCAAAGTAGTCAAATAGCTCGAGTTGCCTCACATAAAGCTTGTCTCGATTACTTGTTCCCTCGAGCTCTTCTGTATGTTGGTCATTAGATATAGACTCGGCAATATATAAGACACCCGGCAAAATCCATCTTTGCATCACATAAATGCAACTGCTGTCACATACCTTATCATCTGTTATTTAAGAGTCGCAATTGCCATTAATTCATTCATGTTCACTTATGCACCTGGCACAGAATCAATCCTTATCTCTTGCACGCCGTGCCGAGGTACGCAATCAATAAGACTGAGCGATAAGACGGGAGCGACTAGAGCAAGCGGTCAGAGCCAGCGGTCAGGATGTTGAAGAGGGATTCTGTTATGATGATCATTACTATTTTTGCTGCTTTAGTTAGGCCATTTGATACCCATATATCTGATTCTTCCACTGACTCACGACAGATGTGCAATGTCTCGGCTCGACCTGATGTCTTCAGAGCCAGCATGGTATGATAACAAATTCGATAGTAGTTTGTAAGGCTAAAAAATCATATTATAGGTCTTGGATTCGCCAAGCTTTCCCGCTCCTGCATTAGAGGGAAGAATTTCCCTGAATAAACGCACTGTGAGCTCCAAAAATGGGTCTGTCATAGGGCGAAAATGATTGATTCTCTCCAATATAGTCAGAAAACCCGATCTGTGAATTCACACGCGGCGTCGCCTACATTAAGCCCACTGCCATCAATATTGACCATTTGCGAGATGAGAAAGAGACATACTGTGTGGCTGAGGCAGGAAATTGCGCGCGCGTATCTTATCTCAACGACTCGTCAATATTTTTCTGTAATTACGTAAGTTGAAAGCATTTCTTTCAGCATTATAAACATAAGCTAACAGACCCATAGAATGCCGACCCTATCTTCACGAAGTGTGGGAATCTCATAGAACCCGCCCGAGTTCTATTTAATAGCTGTCAGGTCGCATCCAGATACACATACGGCTATCTTAGAGGGATGAGTCCGAACGGATCATTGGCTGGAACCGTCGATGGCCCAGAAGTTGCATATTATTTACGCCTAGGCGCGGAACTTCCATAGGAAAAACGGTTTGTTTCCTAGGTCTCAAAAATGCTGAGTCTTAATCAGGTCCGTGGCAGTGGACAGTTAGACTCATCGATTGTCCGGTTTATATTGCAGTAGGTTGAGTAGGCTACAGAGACTCTTGTTGGGCCCTTTGCCTTAGGCAACACGCAGAATAGCTTTATCAGAACTCTGTATCACATTCAAAGTGAATTGAGATTGTTCAAATCTGCGCCTCATCGGCGGCTGAATTGGTTTGACAAACGAGAACTCTTTTGCTTTGCTTAAATTAGCGCCACGGCACGCTAGTCTAAAGATAGGATAATCACGGATTATCGTTGATCCCTCTGTCATTAGGGGTTGTTCCATCTGTACCGGTCCATGACAAAAAGATTTTACGCTTGCCGCGGCAACGTACATTTTGGTCAACTCGATTTGTCAGAATTCCGCCGAGATTCTGCAAGCCTTGTAAGCAAGGCAAGTAAGCAGAAACTTGAATTTGGAATGCGATTGGAATAAAATAACTTGGAAGCCTGTTTGATTACACAATCATACTGTGCAGGCCGACATGAATGAAGGGGTCCGAAATCGCTATTAAGTTCTAGCGCGCACCAAGCGGAGGTTACTCCTGTTAAAGGGATATGCAATCTTCTAGGGAGTAGCGAGGAGAAAGGATGGAATGCAAAGGAGAAGTGGGAGTGAACATTTTTTTTGGATTGTGAATCGCTGGGCCCAAGAAACATATTTACTAATATCATCGCGGATGACCGCTTTGTTGAGCTTTGCACGGCTAAAATTACAGTCAAGCGGGATACGTATGAGAAAACCAGCATGGCACTCGCCGATCCGACTTTACTTGAGAAGATTGACAAATTATTTGCGTGCAATGTGGGCGAGTATATCGATCTACCACAGCTGGTCGTCGTCGGAGATCAATCCAGCGGGAAAAGCTCCGTCTTGCATAACGTACGGGAGGTTTCGGGCGCTGATCGGTTAGTTACCGATCGCCCTTGGGTAGTCAGGGTAGGCGGCTCGAATCCTCCGTTTAAGGTCCTCGGAAAGCTCGAAGGTAGAGACAAAAAGGTCGTAGCGAGCATAAGTTCGTTAAGGACGCTCAGAAAGCTCTCGGGACGGTCCTCAGAAACAGCTCGAAAGCCCGTAACATCAGCGGTACTGATGTCGATCGTATCAAGATCCTGTCGGGATCCGTTCTCCACGGATCGTTTAACGGGTAACCGAGAAAGAGTATCGGCAACTACGTTATCTTTCCCGGGTAAGTGATAGATCGATAGCCGAAACTGCTGAATATATAACGACGCTCTGACAAGGCGCAGGTTTGCCCTTTCCGACGAGACCGTGTGCATGCTGGCCTAGCTTGATATACCGACCGCTAAGGAATGATCCGTATATACAACAGGGATCAACTTGCTTGACTCGTTCAAATGACGTATTTTCCTAAGAGTCCAAACTAGGCAAAAAATTTCTAACTCCGCTGGCGAGTAGTTTCGCTCCGCCGCGGTAAGAGTGCAGCTTAGGGAAAGGATCGGCTCAACTACGCGTCTCAACGGCGGCTTCGACAAATCGGTATACTCGTAACCGACTTTGGCATAGTAAGCTACGATACCGTAACCTTCTCGGAATGCGTCCAGATCTACGTACAACTGACGCTCGGGATCGAAATGACATAAGAATAGGGGGTCGACAAACCGAGCTTGGAACTTATCGAATGCGTCTCGTTCGGGATCGGTAGGGTTATCCAGGGCCTTGCGGGACCAGTTCTTACTTTCCTGGCCCGACTTGGGGTTGCCTTTGAGCATTGCCGTTTTCCGAGCTTGCAGTGGTTCCATGATTGAGGCGTATTTCGCAATGTAATGCCGGAAGTAGCCCGTAAGGCCGAGGTAGTGTTCAGGGTCGGTCAAGGTACTCGGAAAGGACAATTCGCGAATAGCGGCCATTTTCTCGTCCGGAGTAGAAAGACCTAGTGAATCGACTCGCTGGCCAAGCAAGGTTACTGATGGGAACCCGAGAAAAGCATTCTTTGGCTCTAACTTGACGTTCATCGACTCGAGCCTTTCAAAGAGGCTGGAAAAGTGCTCGATATATTCGTCCAAGGTCTTGCTGGCGTTGACGATATCATCGATGTAGGCACGGCAGAAAGAGAGGTCTTCAAGGCTGTTGTCCATAATTCGTTGAACGTATGGCACGGAGTTGACGAAACCCATTATCGCGACCTGAAAGATCTCTTGGCCTTGATGGGAAACAACGGCTAACCTGCCACAATGATCACGTCTAACCGGCCACTGGTAAAAGAATCGGCTTGCGTCGACGACCGAGATATACCGGCAGCCGCGGACTAACGCAATTATTTTGTCTTGCGAGGGAACTGGGTATAGATCGGGCTCGGTCTCTTTATTCACGACACGGAGATGGACAACTGCTCGTCCCTTTCTATTGAAACAATGAAGCTTGTCGTTCCAAACGAGCTTCTAGACAACGAAAACTGGACACCCTGTAGGGATATGGGAAACCGTTTGGACAAGCTTGCCTTGGCGAACAAGGGGGTCGAAAGTTGCATCGACTACCTCACGGTCTTGGGATCCTGGATAATACACCTTCGTCTTTGGCAAGCGTTTCTGCTAACCTTCTTTTATCGGAACTTGAATCCACTGATCTTCAGGGATGTTAACGGTTCCCGAAGCTTCTTCAGGGCTGGCCCAGACATCATATCGCTCGACGACCTGGCGAAAACGATCGATCACGTCAGGATCGATGCCATAAATGGTCACGCCGTTAGGCAAGACTGTCTGGTCGGAAGCTGCTTTGGTATAGACGTCGGACTCGTCACCGAGCAAGTAAGCGCGGGCCAAGGCCTTTTCGACAGCTCGGCAGTAGGCGAAACTAGAGGTAGTTTTAGCTGCTTTCCTGAGCGCTTTTGCGGCTAGATGGCGATAACGGCGACCGGGAAGTGATTGACCAAGGTTCTCGACCTCGACATGGCCGTCGATATCGGCGTTTTCAACGTGCTCGAAATCCTCTATATCAGACCAATTGGACTCACGGTCCTCGGGAACTGAAGCCGACGAGATATGGTATGCCGTAGCGAAGTCTACATCGGAAACCGTACCGATTCTCGCATGGCGCTGAAAATGACCGCTGAATCTGTAGAATCATTCCTGACCTCAACGAATGAAAGGTCCTTGTCAACCAAATGAGAGCACACGTAGACTGGGACGATGGCCCCAGCCGGCTCGAAGAAGTAGTCTTTATCGGGCAGTAAAGCCTTCTTGGTCCGTACGGGAATCTTGTCCGCTGATCGAGCTGGCACTACCACGCGCCTAGTTGAATAAACCGGTGCTTCCGGGACCCGTTCGCGCTTGGCGTCCACAATGATTGGGAAAGTGAAGTTTCAACATGGCTGGATAGTGGCAACGCGACTGGCGAAATCGAAACTGACCCCATTCGGGACCAGTTTGTCAGTACCGATCAACGTATTCAGACGGAGCTCAGGAACGAGGTAGGCGACGATCGTCATCTTGGCGAAACTGCTTATTTTGCCTCCGTAGGAGTTCGGGAAGTAGAGGTCAAAAACAGCGGCTTTAGTCGACTTGTACGACGCCTTGCCAATGCCTCGCACAGTAATCGGGGGCTTAACATCACGGATTGCCATGTTCAGGATCGCCTTGGCAAAGACCTCGTCTATGATCGTTGACGAACAGCCTGTGTCTAGGCAGATCTCCTTGAGATCCAGCTCAGCAGAAAGCTGACCGAGCGTGACGCGAGCAGTAGTACATCTCCAAGAACGAATATTCGCGACATGGCGATCGGAATCGACATCGGGCTTAACGTCGGACTCGTAAACCTGGACTTTGTTGGGAATACCAGCGTCCGCAGCGTAGGCGTCGAGAAACCGATCCATACACTTACCGAGGTGATTATGGAGCTCGTTGTTAGAGGGGAAAGCTCGATGACAGTGGTAGCAACTCGTCACGATGAACGGCTCGGGGCAGGTAAACGGCTCGTCAAGCTGGCCTATAGGATCAACTACTTCCGTCATGTAGGCGCCATACAGATCATGGGAATCGTCGTCAGGATTACAGTCCGGTGCGTAATCCTGGTTGCCAAAAAAACTCCGGTTGGTTTCCGTAGTTTACGTTGTCACCGAGGTCGACCGCCATAGCGTCATAATGAGGTGCGTAATCGTCATTCTGAGCATAGCTGTCATAGAAATCGGAAGGCTGGTCGAGAGGTTCGTACGTAGCGGGTTAGTAGGACTGCTGGGCTGGAGCTTGCTGTGATGAACCTACGCAGGAAAGATAGATGATCTTTCTTAAGCGGCGTTCTATTCGAAATACCAAACGTGAGGAAGAGAAGGAAAGGTGAGGCTTTCTAGGAAAACAAATAGTTAATAACGTAAATCCATCAGTTGATTTTTCAAGTAGCGTCTGAAGGTCAAACTCGGTCTGTTTTTCGATACAAACTTCGCTTAGAATGGAGACTTCCTCTAGGCATTTTCTTTTCCCTGGTTGTTCAGGGTTTCTAACTCCTGCACTTCCTTTTGCGGTTCCAGGGTCTTCAAGTGAGTCGAGGCTCTCTTACGGCATTCAGCCGATCGATGTCTGTGCTTAAAGCAACTGAAGCGTTTTCCTTCGCTCCTCAGTTTTGCTCGAGTGTCGGGATCCATGGTACGGCGGAGTCCAGGGTCCTGTCATCGGGATTCGGAGTCTGAGCCTTAGTCAATCTTGGGATCTCTTTCGCCGCTGCGGGTGGGTAAGGGGCTCCTAGTTTGAAACGGTCCCAGCCGCTTTGTAGTTCATAATCTCTAGGCTGTTCGCCATCGTCGAGCAATATTCGGAAAATTTGCCGAAAGAGTAGGTATCCTTTGTGCTTTTAGCAACAGTCATCTCCTGCAACTTACGTGGGAGCCTCTGGTAGAGTTCCTCCTTCATGTCTTCATCGTGTATTCCGGCTTCAGAGGCAATATAGAGAAACTCCGACAAAAACATGTGAAACTTGTCGTCTTTCTTTATCTGCAAGTTCCTGAACTTGTTCTTTGCGATGATGGTTCGATTGGGGTCATGGTAGATGCTCTTTAGATGCTCCAGCATCTCACTTTCGTCATTATATCCCTCACTCTTAGCCTGCTGTCTAGACACTAGATGTTGCAGGGCCTTTCCTTCAGTGCCACTCTGGACATATGTCATATGGAGATCGGGTGTGCTGTAGTGATCCTGGTTGGCTTTCAGCTTCGCGTTCATCAAGATAATCCAATCATCGAAGCGTGGTTCCTTTCCATCCGACAACCAGGGGGGGTCAGGGAACTTAATCGATCTCGCTGGGGTGGATTCCTCAGCTGGAGTTTTGACGCGGGCACGCAACTCCATCACTCTAGTCGCTAGGGGATTAATCTCGGTATCTCTCTCCTGCAACTCCTCTTCTTTCTGGATCGTTTTTTCTTTGAGCGAGGCAGCTTCCGCTTCCCATTCTTGAGAAGCAAGCTCCTGCTCGCCAGCCAAGGTTTCGAGTCGTTTGTTCTCCTCTAGTCGAATTATGTGAAAGCCAATCAAGATGATCAAAACTGATTCATTTGGTGCTAAAAGATCAAAATTTCAAGCGTAGGGAAAGGAAAAGTAGGCGGACTGAGTAAGAGGGTGTTGGCAAACAAGGTAAACAGTACAAACAAAACAAACAATACCATCGGGTCAACTAGGCCCTCACAATTAGCTAAATTTCCTCCCTATCAGCATATCGAGTAAGGTTTGCTTTACACACCTTCCAGAGCTTTGATATACTGGGGAAAGAAGAATGACTCGCTCTATAAAGGGAGGCCCGTTTAAAAGGCAGCCTCACATAAAAAGTGGTAAGTTCGGCATCGTTTTCGAGCAATGAGTGTCCCGTCAAGCCGCCATATGATGGGAATATGTTATCTTGTAGCTTCACATACGGCTCCTTATAAAGTTAGTGAAGGTGTTATAAGGAGAAGCACACATGTACATTGGAGCACATTTCCTCGGAGCTGCCCGATTTCTGGGCAGTGTAAACTCTGTGGTTAAATGCAATAACGTTGAACAACGAAACCCAATGGAGCCCGCGAGGTAGGATATAGTTTCAATTTAGGTAGAAATGTCATGGATATTTCACTCAAAATAAGATTCACAACCATCCAATCATGCCGTGCTGTTTAGTTGTTCCCATGCGCGCCAAGCCTCAGCCAGCAAATAATACAAGGGCGTATCGACATCTGTATGTACTTGACACGGAATGCGGTTTCGGTCCTCACTGTACATCAGCTGCGAGTATGTTCGTAGTGACTGTTTGGGAGCCTCCCACAAAAGGCCACGCGAAAACGACATCAATGTTCACACTTGTTCCATTCTGCGCTGCTCGAACAATTGATAGTCAGTCGACACTATAATGAGATGCTCATTAACACCGAGGAAAATTCGGAAGCAAGCTCTTATTGCTCTACTAACAACGTCGTCTCCATTACATGCATCTTACATAATATGAACTTATAATGATAACTAGCTGTCAATTGACATTTCAACTTAATCTAATGAATGCTTCATTGATGTCCCCTCAGTTTAGACACTAGTTTCCACCATTTTTCGCGTTTAGAGGATACGGCCTCTGATTTAGCAACTCGCGGAGCATCCCATGATGCTAGTACTTTGATGAGATGTGAGCGGGCTGGCTTTGCTCCAGTTGTGGGTGTTTTTGGCGCTTCGGCCAAATACACATTGCCCGTTGGTTTCCTCTCTTCATCCACTATAGTAGTGGCTTCTGAGTCCGTAGAGCGCCTTTCGGGTAGTTCCTCTGAGCTTGTTAGAAATTTCCTTAGGTATCTACTTCCAAATACATACCTAGAGTCCGCTTATAGTAGGCGAGAGGGCTTTTATCTTCCGGCTGGATATCATACTTATCCACACAAAAGCTTTCGTTTGAGAAATCCTGGCCTTCCCCTGACCTCCAGTCCTCATAAGCGGTTTGCTTTCCAATCTGCAATTTTGTCTGGAGACTATTTGCGAGGTCGCTAGCTTCAAACAAATGGCCACCGGAATTTGATGATGGCCCGCCTTCTTTTCCTCCTGATGCCTGGGTTCTTTCACAAAAATCCAACTCATAGTCTTTGCTGTCGCCGGTCACTATTCACTGATCAGCAGTTATTCCTCCGGCCACACACACATAGCTTACCCATATTGCTCTCACGGGGATCAGACATAATTGCAGTCGAAAGAGACGCCATTGATGAAAGATAAGAAAGGGGTTTTGAATGCGTTTTATAGTTTAACACCGTCTGTCTTGCAGTTTTGGGGCCCTATACTTTCACGCTAATATCCTTGATTCACAGTCTTCTAACGAATAGCATAATTGGCCATGTTCTTCTATCCTCTGTAGCTAGAAAGTAGTTAGCCTAGCATATCAATAAAAATACTCCAATGTTTTTCTGGATTCTAGACGTAATTCAGAGAACACCCCAGTGGGCATTACCAGCTATAAAGAGCGTCCTTGGAATGAGTAATACTATCTAGAAAGCCAGACAAGTAAGATGGGTAAATATAGTTCTTCAGGCCGTGGAATGGTGCCTGCGTGCAAAAGAAGTCGGTGTGACAACCATCGCTAGAAGCCTCAGCGAGCTACGGCGTTGTTGCCTGAACTCTCAGGCAGATACCGCCTCAGCGGCTGACTAAGCCACGTAAACAAAACTTCTTCAACTACTGTAATTAGTGTTGTTTCTTCCTCACGCTTAGAATTCAACATATTTCTCGCCTACGAACTTGCTACGTAGTTGGAGAAGGTTTGTAGCGGTCGGCACCATTCAATTTATACCTAGTGTCAGCTCGTACATGTCAGGTATTGTGAAGGTATACTCAAGTTCAATAACCGGCGTTGATCCTGCGCCCGACTTGTGTTGCACGTGCCAAGAGACGCTAGGTTATTTTAAATTAGGCTCCAGTAATCTTAGCTCTGTTGATACGGCCCTGTATAGTACAAAATAACACTATTATATGATGTACTGTATAATATGTTCTAGTAATATAAACGCTATGTTGTTAGTATATGGAATCGAACTCTCTAGTCATGTAATAATGTCCCTCTTCTAGAAAAGATATAGATTATACTGTCATTAACTAGTATAAACCTGCTTGTTCCTGGCATCTTTGACGCTCTCCCGATCTCTACTTTATGAGTCCTCGTAGATATGAATAGCTATGAGAGCTTCTTCTTTGAATATGTAGAAAGAATAACCTTCTACAAAGGCGGGTCCCGGTCGAATCGTTAAATATTTTTGATGCGAACAAGGCAAGGGCACATCTTCAGTGTAGCGAAGCTCTCTAAGATTTAATTTATAATGGCAGCATATGATATCATAGGTACTTGGGCACTAGTGACCCAAGACTCACTTTTTAGGGCTCGCCAAAACACGCATAATGCGGATAATATTAGACAAGTTGTTCTTACCGTCCCATGACAAATATGCAAGGCAAATTAAGGGTAAGGAGTTTCCGGTGTAGCTCGGTCCTTTAAGGAATGAATTCATCGTATCTACAGGCAAACCTCTGGGCGCCCTTCTTCTTGTGGCGCATCATCTGTCCAAAGCCGAAAAGATAGTATACGTCAGGGCCAACATTACGCATAGTGCTATAATCAAGCCTATCGCCATCCGCGAACCGCATCTCGCCCGGAGCGTAGCGATCATCTGGAGCAAACGGGCGGCGAACTTTGTGATGCGCGTAACACATTGGCATGGTGATCTCCTGCCGAAATTTCGTCTGAAAGTTGTCTATAAACCCCCTGGCAGCTTTGCACTTGGAGAGATACGGGGAAAGATTCGACTGGGCCCCATGAGGCACGGCCGCGCCAACTCTGCGAAAGTCAGTCGTACGGTGACCTTACATTTTGATACATTCGCCCATGGTTCTGTATAGTCCTTTCAGACTTAGAAGCGATCAAATGGGAAACCTAGCTGTAACCCAAAGGAAAAGTAAAAACAGAGAAAGCAGTATGTAGCATGACGCTATTTAATCGAGTTGGTTGTTTCAAGGTGCTAATAATGTGTTGCCTGGGATGTTATATCGGTAACATTCTGTACCAATGCTCCTCCCATATACCTTACACATATATTGCTTGGTAGTGTGACATCACATATCACATTTCTTCCCGCTTCTTTCTTCCCGCTTCAAACTCCTATGCTGGATGAATGAATAGTGCATTCGCCCGTGTCATGTCAATCATAGCCCCAGATTTCCCATCACGGACCTTGATAGTGCCTTCCATGTAGATCTTCCTCCCCTCAACTCTCACAGGTCGTGCACAAAGCATCATTAGCTTTTCTGGGTCTATCGGCTTGAGGAAAGATATATCAAGCTTAGCCGTTACTGCCGGCTGGCAGCAGTCAGCTAAAATATGATCCAATAGGAACGATTGGATTCCACCATGGAGCTTTCCCGGATAATAGCAGACATTCTGGGCTGAATTGAGTTCTATGGAAGCTGTTGCTTCCCTTCCCAGCTTGTGGGCTTGAAAGGTAGGTTTGTAACCATCCAAGAGACTATTTGTGGGAAATTGTAGGTATTTGGTGCTTGAAATAGTCTGTGGGCTTCAGTACATATCATTCGTGCGATAAGAATGGGCAATAGGGCCTACCGGTTGTGTCTTGTTTGTTGAAAAAGTTGCAACCTGGGGGAGTGCGCGGCGTGTATGCGATGACTTTGAGGGGCAATTCCCCCGGGTATCGTGGAAGATTCTTCGAACAAGGGTGCGATGGAAAATCTGTTCCATGTTGAAGGATCTGGTGTTTTCTATGACGATACGAAGCCGTCTTGCCTACCAGGAATCAATTGAGAATACTCCCTATCCATTCTTAAATATCTCTTCCAGATGGCTATGGTAGTAGCTCTATATTTAGCTGCGCCATGCAAACTGTGTATAGCTCTTTACCAATCCCTCTATCTATTCAGCGCTCCAATGTTTGTTCAACCCTACGGAATTAATGTGGATCTGTCGTACACACTAACCATCACGGTGCCGCGCATGCCCCACTAATGTTACATGGGGCTTCTCTAGCTCTCAGGATGATAGCGAAGCATGTTTATCCAAATCACTGTTGAACGCTTGCTGTTTTCTTCGTAGATGAGTGAATATTCTTGATTTAATATACTAAATGATCGCTATTAAAAGTCCTTACCCCAATGACGCCATGCAATTTTGGCGGCATGAGTGGATACAGAAACAAGCCTATTAACTGCTGTTCATCGAATGCCGACTACCATTTTGTTTTTTACCATATGCGTCGGTCGTTTTCTTTCAATTGACCGACCTACGTTCCAAGCTAATTTAGAAGTAAGCGTGGGACAACCAAGCCTTAGCTTAAAAAACGGCTAAGCCATTACGGACAGCGGAGCTCGGTCGTCTTGAAGAGTAATTCGATATTCTTGAATTGACCTGAAATGCTATTCTTGATGAGATTGACATTAAGGCACCGTATTCTACTTGCAGTTGCTGTAGTATTATAGGATTACCCATTTTACGAAAAATCGGTTCGTACAAGATATATTCTAGCTACGCAGTATGCTCGGAGAAAGTTGAGAAGTCACCAATTCATTGTGGGGCTATACAGTAAGAGAAACCGAGAGATTGACGTTATTTAAGCTTATCAGTTTACCACTGCATAGAACTTCAGACGTTTGAATCGACTTCTAGTCATTCTATTCCCCGCGGTAGGTAGCATGACGCAAACACGATGTCCAGATACTCAGAGAGCTCTGCAGGCTGACAATATAATTGGGTTTACATGATTGGTTTCGGTTGTGATAACCTCAAGGTCATTCGGATCTGCGCCTTGCGTCAGGAATTGGCCGCCGCAGATGCGGTACTGTACTCGACCAGGTTCTTCTCGCACTGCGTCAACCGAAATCTGGATTTATGGTTCATACGAGTGTGGCTTTGGGGCCGGCAGAGGGATTGCATCATAGACAATATCCAAATCTCAGCTTGAGGTCATTGCTTTGTGCTGGGAATTCTTGGCATAGATAATCGGCCTTGACCTTGCATTATTTAGAGCTACCGAAGTACTGTCGAGTCATGAACCAGGTTTCAAGAATGATCGATTTGTTTCTACTGTGAGTCGGCGGTCCCAAATACTTCTAATTTCTATAACTAACATACCTTAGCCGCTAGAAGACATTCATCCTACGACAGTAACACTCTGTATTTGATGAACCTGGTAAATTCGTTCCTTACATACAGGTCAGTGAATTTCCTGACTCCTTTGAAATACACGAGGTATCCGTTGAATAACAGAAGTAAGGTCTCAAGAACTGTTGGAGGATGGATCACAGCGACAATATTCAATCCCGAATTTGCTGCCAAATAATGTTTAAGCTACCTTCTTCAAACCAGGCTTGAGTAGCTGACAAATGGATCATTTTTGAAACCTAAACTCGTAATACCCTAATGATAAAGGATAGCACCGTCCGACTTGGTGGAAAAACAATACCATCCCAAGGGGACAAGTCACCACCGTGTCATACGAGTTCGACGTTGAACCGGGGATTTAGAGTAATGCTCGCCTTTCCATTGCATGTCGCCAGTGCGTATTGGGATGAGGATGCCCAAAGTTGTCATGCCATGATAATGTTTCGTCATTCGGCCATATCTGATAGTGAAATTATTCAGCGCCGGGTACATTCGGATGTACCATCTCAATTTTTGCGACCTTTGGCCCTAGTTTTCCTTTCAGGACTGGCTCTTCGACAGTTTGATAGTTTGCTCCGCCGAACGGATTATATTGCTCAGGGGGTGGTGGTGTTAGGACAGTAACTAGTCCTTCGTCTAGAGCAATATGATAGGCGTACATAGCAGACGCGCCCTTCACATACTTGCTCCACATTTTGCGTGATTTTCGGGCCCATAAGCACTGCGTGTGATCATGATCCATCAGTGGTCCCATAGCAGTTGTCAATGTCTGCATTCCATGTTGATCTGCCCAGGTCTGTGCCAGTCTGCGGGGCACACCGCTCCACATAACCTGACGTCCATGCTGCCATACATCGGTGTGGAACCTGTTGCAGATTTGGGTTGCCTCCCTGGTGGTAAGAAATTCATGGAAAAGTTCGACTGTCTCTGGCGAGCACATAGATATAGCTTGTTTTAACAAAGATCACAACATCGAAGACCATTGTGCGAACTTGTAGTATTGAAAAGTGTTGAAACGAAAACCCTAGCATGAGATCCAGTCATACT